CACACACGCGCTCCCCGATGCCCTGTTGCCTCTTCACAGCAGCCGCTATTACGTTCGAGTTCCAAAGACTCGTGGTCGACGCCGGAGCGGCCGCTGCCAAGGCTCACGTGCGGCTTTGCTGGCAGTGCGGCCAGTCGTGCGTGACAGGCTCCACGTCACCCACAGGGCACCCATACCCACGAGCTAGCACGGATTACGGCCGATAGCGGCGCTGAAAACGAGCGATGACCCAGGAGGCGGAGGCGGGGATCGAACCCGGCTGGCCGGCGAGACGGGTGGGTGGGCATCGGTACCGGGTGGTGCAGGTCCGTGGTGTATGTTTGCGGCGGTGGCGAGGTGCGTGGCGGCCGGTATTTGCGTGGCACGAGCGGGTTCCGGAGTAGGTGCGCAAGGGCTGGGTTAGGCGCTCTTATGGTGTAATGGTTAGCACTCTGGACTTTGAATCCAGCGATCCGGGTTCAAATCCCGGTAGGAGCTCGTTTTTGCGCGGCATTGCAAGCGTGTAGCGTGCTGGAGGCGCTGCGGTGCGTGTAGCGTTCGTAATTCGCGTTTGAAAATCGGTTAGGGGGTAGACCAATTAGTGCTGGTCTTATGGTGTAATGGTTAGCACTCTGGACTCTGAATCCAGCGATCCGGGTTCAAATCCCGGTAGGACCTCGTTTTGCACCCATCCTACCGGCACCACCACGCCCTGCGCCGCACACCTGCCGCACACGCGTCTCCACGCGCTCCCCGATGCCCTGTTGCCACTTCACAGCAGCCGCTATTACGTTCGAGTTCCAAAGACTCGTGGTCGACGCCGGAGCGGCCGCTGCCAAGGCTCACGTGCGGCTTTGCTGGCACTGCGGCCAGTCACACCACCGTCACCCACAGGGCACCCATACCCACGAGCTAGCACGGATTACGGCCGATAGCGGCGCTGAAAACGAGCGATGACCCAGGAGGCGGAGGCGGGGATCGAACCCGGCTGGCCGGCGAGACGGGTGGGTGGGCATCGGTACCGGGTGGTGCAGGTCCGTGGTGTATGTTTGCGGCGGTGGCGAGGTGCGTGGCGGCCGGTATTTGCGTGGCACGAGCGGGTTCCGGAGTAGGTGCGCAAGGGCTGGGTTAGGCGCTCTTATGGTGTAATGGTTAGCACTCTGGACTTTGAATCCAGCGATCCGGGTTCAAATCCCGGTAGGAGCTCGTTTTTGCGCGGCATTGCAAGCGTGTAGCGTGCTGGAGGCGCTGCGGTGCGTGTAGCGTTCGTAATTCGCGTTTGAAAATCGGTTAGGGGGTAGACCAATTAGTGCTGGTCTTATGGTGTAATGGTTAGCACTCTGGACTCTGAATCCAGCGATCCGGGTTCAAATCCCGGTAGGACCTCGTTTTGCACCCATCCTACCGGCACCACCACGCCCTGCGCCGCACACCTGCCGCACACGCGTCTCCACGCGCTCCCCGATGCCCTGTTGCCACTTCACAGCAGCCGCTATTACGTTCGAGTTCCAAAGACTCGTGGTCGACGCCGGAGCGGCCGCTGCCAAGGCTCACGTGCGGCTTTGCTGGCAGTGCGGCCAGTCGTGCGTGACAGGCTCCAGTCACACCACCGTCACCCACAGGGCACCCATACCCACGAGCTAGCACGGCTCACGGCCGATAGCGGCGCTGAAAACGAGCGATGACCCAGGAGGCGGAGGCGGGGATCGAACCCGGCTGGCCGGCGAGGCGGGTGGGTGGGCATCGGTACCGGGTGGTGCAGGTCCGTGGTGTATGTTTGCGGCGGTGGCGAGGTGCGTGGCGGCCGGTATTTGCGTGGCACGAGCGGGTTCCGGAGTAGGTGCGCAAGGGCTGGGTTAGGCGCTCTTATGGTGTAATGGTTAGCACTCTGGACTTTGAATCCAGCGATCCGGGTTCAAATCCCGGTAGGAGCTCGTTTTTGCGCGGCGTTGCAAGCGTGTAGCGTGCTGGAGGCGCTGCGGTGCGTGTAGCGTTCGTAATTCGCGTTTGAAAATCGGTTAGGGGGTAGACCAGTTAGTGGTGGTCTTATGGTGTAATGGTTAGCACTCTGGACTCTGAATCCAGCGATCCGGGTTCAAATCCCGGTAGGACCTCGTTTTGCACCCATCCTACCGGCACCACCACGCCCCCGTTGTTGCTGCGCCGAACACCTGCCGCACACACGCGCTCCCCGATGCCCTGTTGCCTCTTCACAGCAGCCGCTATTACGTTCGAGTTCCAAAGACTCGTGGTCGACGCCGGAGCGGCCGCTGCCAAGGCTCACGTGCGGCTTTGCTGGCACTGCGGCCAGTCACACCACCGTCACCCACAGGTCACCCATACCCACGAGCTAGCACGGATCACGGCCGATAGCGGCGCTGAAAACGAGCGATGACCCAGGAGGCGGAGGCGGGGATCGAACCCGGCTGGCCGGCGAGACGGGTGGGTGGGCATCGGTACCGGGTGGTGCAGGTCCGTGGTGTATGTTTGCGGCGGTGGCGAGGTGCGTGGCGGCCGGTATTTGCGTGGCACGAGCGGGTTCCGGAGTAGGTGCGCAAGGGCTGGGTTAGGCGCTCTTATGGTGTAATGGTTAGCACTCTGGACTTTGAATCCAGCGATCCGGGTTCAAATCCCGGTAGGAGCTCGTTTTTGCGCGGCGTTGCAAGCGTGTAGCGTGCTGGAGGCGCTGCGGTGCGTGTAGCGTTCGTAATTCGCGTTTGAAAATCGTTTAGGGGGTAGACCAGTTAGTGCTGGTCTTATGGTGTAATGGTTAGCACTCTGGACTCTGAATCCAGCGATCCGGGTTCAAATCCCGGTAGGACCTCGTTTTGCACCCATCCTACCGGCACCACCACGCCCCCGTTGTTGCTGCGCCGAACATTTGCCGCACACACGCGCTCCCCGATGCCCTGTTGCCTCTTCACAGCAGCCGCTATTACGTTCGAGTTCCAAAGACTCGTGGTCGACGCCGGAGCGGCCGCTGCCAAGGCTCACGTGCGGCTTTGCTGGCACTGCGGCCAGTCACACCACCGTCACCCACAGGTCACCCATACCCACGAGCTAGCACGGATCACGGCCGATAGCGGCGCTGAAAACGAGCGATGACCCAGGAGGCGGAGGCGGGGATCGAACCCGGCTGGCCGACGAGACGGGTGGGTGGGCATCGGTACCGGGTGGTGCAGGTCCGTGGTGTATGTCTGCGGCGGTGACGAGGTGCGTGGCGGCCGGTATTTGCGTGGCACGAGCGGGTTCCGGAGTAGGTGCGCAAGGGCTGGGTTAGGCGCTCTTATGGTGTAATGGTTAGCACTCTGGACTCTGAATCCAGCGATCCGGGTTCAAATCCTGGTAGGACCTCGTTTTGCACCCATCCTACCGGCACCACCACGCCCCCGTTGTTGCTGCGCCGAACACCTGCCGCACACACGCGCTCCCCGATGCCCTGTTGCCTCTTCACAGCAGCCGCTATTACGTTCGAGTTCCAAAGACTCGTGGTCGACGCCGGAGCGGCCGCTGCCAAGGCTCACGTGCGGCTTTGCTGGCAGTGCGGCCAGTCACACCACAGGGCACCCATACCCCGGATCACGGCCGATAGCGGCGCTGAAAACGAGCGATGACCCAGGAGGCGGAGGCGGGGATCGAACCCGGCTGGCCGGCGAGACGGGTGGGTGGGCATCGGTACCGGGTGGTGCAGGTCCGTGGTGTATGTTTGAGGCGGTGGCGAGGTGCGTGGCGGCCGGTATTTGCGTGGCTCGAGCGGGTTCCGGAGTAGGTGCGCAAGGGCTGGGTTAGGCGCTCTTATGGTGTAATGGTTAGCACTCTGGACTTTGAATCCAGCGATCCGGGTTCAAATCCCGGTAGGAGCTCGTTTTTGCGCGGCGTTGCAAGCGTGTAGCGTGCCGGAGGCGCTGCGGTGCGTGTAGCGTTCGTAATTCGCGTTTGAAAATCGGTTAGGGGGTAGACCAGTTAGTGCGGGTCTTATGGTGTAATGGTTAGCACTCTGGACTCTGAATCCAGCGATCCGGGTTCAAATCCCGGTAGGACCTCGTTTTGCACCCATCCTACCGGCACCACCACGCCCTGCGCCGCACACCTGCCGCACACGCGTCTCCACGCGCTCCCCGATGCCCTGTTGCCACTTCACAGCAGCCGCTATTACGTTCGAGTTCCAAAGACTCGTGGTCGACGCCGGAGCGGCCGCTGCCAAGCCTCACGTGCGGCTTTGCTGGCAGTGCGGCCAGTCGTGCGTGACAGGCTCCAGTCACACAACCGTCACCCACAGGTCACGAGCTAGCACGGCTCACGGTCGATAGCGGCGCTGAAAACGAGCGATGACCGAGGAGGCGGGGGTAACCAAACGCTTGCAACGAAGCGTCAAAACGGTAGAAAACAGGTCAAGTCACGAATTAGCACCGTATTTTGCTGCAAGGCAACCGGTACGGATACGCTGAATCCAGTAGTTATTGGTACAGCGGCGAACCCATGGTGTTTTCCAGGCGGCACTCGGCGTGCACTTAAAGGCAAGGCTGTCGAATATTACAACACCAGAAAGGCGTGTATGACGGTAACCATCTTTTTTGAGTGGCTCCAAAGTTTTAACTTGAAAATGGCAGTACAGACCCGAAAGGTGCTTTTACTGATCGGCAATCGGTTAGAGCCCGATATCAGCGTCGCTTGTCCGTTGGTGCCTGAATGCAATTAAGGGTGGCATCAAGCGCAAGCTAAACCGCCTTGAGGCGATCCAGTTCAGCATCGATAGCTAGGGTGGTGTGAGTGCCGACTATGTTCGCAACTGCAGGCCCAAATCACGAATAGTCGACGCTGCGTATTCGAGCGGGATCCGACAGTAAGGGAGTTCATAAATGCCGCTGAGGAAAGGGTTGTGGACGAACTTGCAAACATCTTAAAGGGAATACACGGACCCATCAGCGTCCCACACTACCTGGGCGGCAGGTGTGCGGCGCAGCAACAACGGGGGCGTGGTGGTGCCGGTAGGATGGGTGCAAAACGAGGTCCTACCGGGATTTGAACCCGGATCGCTGGATTCAGAGTCCAGAGTGCTAACCATTACACCATAAGACCAGCACTAACTAGTCTACCCCCTAACCGATTTTCAAACGCGAATTACGAACGCTACACGCACCGCAGCGCCTCCAGCACGCTACACGCTTGCAACGCCGCGCAAAAACGAGCTCCTACCGGGATTTGAACCCGGATCGCTGGATTCAGAGTCCAGAGTGCTAACCATTACACCATAAGACCAGCACTAACTGGTCTACCCCCTAAACGATTTTCAAACGCGAATTACGAACGCTACACGCACCGCAGCGCCTCCAGCACGCTACACGCTTGCAACGCCGCGCAAAAACGAGCTCCTACCGGGATTTGAACCCGGATCGCTGGATTCAAAGTCCAGAGTGCTAACCATTACACCATAAGAGCGCCTAACCCAGCCCTTGCGCACCTACTCCGGAACCCGCTCGTGCCACGCAAATACCGGCCGCCACGCACCTCGCCACCGCCGCAAACATACACCACGGACCTGCACCACCCGGTACCGATGCCCACCCACCCGCCTCGCCGGCCAGCCGGGTTCGATCCCCGCCTCCGCCTCCTGGGTCATCGCTCGTTTTCAGCGCCGCTATCGACCGTGAGCCGTGCTAGCTCGTGACCTGTGGGTGACGGTTGTGTGACTGGAGCCTATCACGCACGACTGGCCGCACTGCCAGCAAAGCCGCACGTGAGCCTTGGCAGCGGCCGCTCCGGCGTCGACCACGAGTCTTGGAACTCGAACATAATAGCGGCTGCGTGA